CGGGTGCGGGGCAGGAGGGGGAGGAGGAGGAGATTGGGGGTGCGGGGTAGCGAGCAGCCGACAACGGGCAAGGGGGAGAGAAGTGACATGGCAGGGTGGGGTGCTGTTAAATTTTGTTTATGTGGGGTAGGGTGGTCACAATGTCGGCATAAGAAGGGTACGATCATCAGAATAATCGTGGTCAAATGTAGGTAGGGTACTGAGAAGGTAACAGGACATGGTAGGGTAGTACTGTAGCTTGGGTCCAACTGCGTGGTAGGGGTATGCGGGACAAGGCCAGTTCCGCTACACATTTACTAAATTCTTCAGAAACAATTTCAAATCAGACACGCAATTCAAAAAGCGAGATCATAGGGTAGGGGTAGTCCAAACAAAGGATGAAATTGATATTTTGCGAAATGATGACACTTGACATTTTTTACTTGAGAAGGATATAGATAAATAAGAACCCTGAGCTATCTGAATCATCCCATTCATTTCTGCCATGGCAAGTAACATCATAGTTTCTGAGGGTACTTGAAATTTTTCAGCTAGTGGGTGTCATTGAAGAGATGCGATTTGATACATTCACTACCGGTCATTTCATATATGAATATTGGGGTAGTCGAAGACCTCTGAACTCCCATATCTGTTTGGCTCGAGAAAACATCAGGCCGCAACCCAAGTTTGGAATCTTGCACTCTTTATTTTGAAATGTGCTTATTAATATCGGATATTTTACATACATTATTCAGACTTCAGCGAAATTGCGTTCCTGCATGGTGACCTGTCCCAACCAATCACTCACCCCATCAATAATCGAACACCCCTCCAATAACCCTGAGTACCCCCACATTTTCCTGATATTTTCTAGTCGAACCCACCCCTACAACCTTTGCAAGGGGCTGAAGTCGAGTCTGCCTCAGGACATAGTAGGTGAAAAGAAAAAGGCAGCGATGATGACTTACAGGAAACAGACGGTGCAGGAGCGCAAACACATCAGCAATGGAAGGACAAGTGCTAGACGGGAGCATCGAGATTGCATGGCGGGAAGGAGGAGAAACGAAGAAGGAAACGATCTCCTCTCTGTTCAAGGGCAAGAGATCTGTACTCTTTGCTGTCCCTGGAGCTTTCACCCCTACGTGTAGGTAAGTGCGAGCATTCTCAAATGTCGTAATGTCTTCATCACATGCATGTTACAAGCAAGATGTTTGTGTTCAGCTTGAATTAGAGGCAGATTCTTGTGAGAGGCAATAAGATTCAATTAGTGTGCGTGATGTTTCCTTCCTGCTGGTTTTATGTTCACTTGGTTCAATTCCTGATCCTTCTTTACACAGCGAGAAACATCTCCCCGGTTTCATCGCCCAATCGGATGAATTCAAGCAGTCGGGCGTGGATCTCATTGTTTGCTTGAGTGTGAATGACCCTTTTGTCATGGCTGCTTGGGCGGAGCAGCAAGGAGCAGGCGATAAAGTGAAGCTTGTTGCCGATGGGAATGGTACCTTCAGTAAGTCAGTGGGGCAACTTTCAGACAAGACGGCACACAACATGGGAATGAGATCCGAGAGATATGCGATAGTCATCGATTCCGACCTCAAAGTTGAGTATTTCGCGAAGGGTGATGGCTCATTTGCTGGCCCTGTGCTGGAGTTTCTCCGATCATCCAAGAAGTAACGGAACAAACCTTGTACAAATACCATCTTGGGGTTGAAGACTTGCCATAAAAAACAAGGGTGGTGCATAACGGTGATCTGAATAAACTCGACATTTTTGAAATATTTTTATTTGTTTCCGAAATTTACTTACTTTATGATCACACTATTGCGTTGATCACGAAGAAAATTTTATTCCGAAGAGTTTTCCTGATTGATTACATTATAACCATTCATATTGCTCAGAGAATCGTCTTATTTATCCTGAATGGTACAAGTGGATTTCATGGTTTCGTTCAGAAAGGTTGAGGTGAATCCACACTGTCACCTTGAATGTTGGCATCAGCAAAACTCAATGCGTTTCCTGCGCCCTGCATGGATGGGGTAGTGACGAACTTGTTGTACTGTCCCCGTGGGTGTGATCTATACACCTTTGTCTTGTTAAGCTTTTGCCCGGGAGAAATTGGGGAGAGCTTTGGAGTTCCAGCAGTTGGAGTGTCGATCATGACTTCAGGCACGTCGTTGAAGTCTTCGTCAATTTGGACCGTGACCAGCCCAATTCTTCCTTGGTACGGCGATCGTGAGCTTCCTGTGCTTGACTGTGAGCATTGGAGCCCTGTTGCATGAGCGTGCTGGTCTTGATGCTCGGGGATCGTATTGGTGATCGTCATTATGGATGTTTGATGTTCCGAATTTCAGAAGTTCGTACGAATACACAAAAATCAAGAGGGACAGAGAAGGTAAAGGAGAAGTAACGGTGTCGACAGTTCGCAATAACAATGTAGCGCGAGACTATGAGAGTTGAAATCAGAGTGCAAGTGATGTCAAACGACAAAACCTGACAAGACGCGAACTCTATGGGGAGGGACGAGGGAAGCTATGGAGGAAAACAAACGCTAGACCGACTCTTTGCATCAGGCGTAGCGATGGGGGTAGGGTAGGGGCGAATCTGAGGGCTGAGTGAAGAGATGAGGTTGATATAGGGATACTTATCGATTGTACCTATAAGAAAAAGGGTCTATGGTAGTACCATCTCCTTTGACTGAAGGAGTCGCCCAACATTTCGAGGGAGAGGGGGTAGGGGTGGGGCGATGGTAGTAAACGAAGATGACAGCGTTATAAGTACCAGGGGTGGGTAAGAGCTGCTCGAGACGGGTAGTGGTTTGTACCTCTGGTGGTGGTGCAAAATGTGCTGATGGAGGGGTAGTCTAGAACTAAAAGAAGGGGTGGGGTACTTGGGAATTGCTGTCATCACTGGCCGGAAGATCACCGGGCGGTGCCGTGTCAGCCAGCTAGGGAACCATGCGCAGGTTATGTACCCTCTGATGCACCCTGCTATGTATCAGCCACACGGTACTTGTTGCGTTCAGGGATGCAGGGTGGGCGGTGGACGGGGTTGGGAATGTTCTCGAGAGAGGGATAATGAGAGAGGAAAATGTTGAATAACTTACAGCGCGAAACAAGCCAGATGTAATGTTCAACATGGGGTGAAAGTGATTCCGACATCATGAAGACGATTCCTTCAGGAATGCCTGCTTTGAATGACTTGAATGACTTTGAATGACTTCATTGATGATGTTAAGAAGGCGAGGGAACATGCAGTCAAGATGGGAACAACAGTAGCAAGTTGGCTGCGATCATAATACGTTAGAAACCCAGACGATCTCCACAAGTTGACAGAGCAAAAGCAGACATGGATCAACAGACACTAGTAACGTTTGAATCCTGATTGAGCGATGCAGGAAAGTGAGGAAATGAAATCAAGGAAGCTGAATTCAGCATTGTTCAAGATCCAGCGGGACTATCAATTGAGCCATGGTGCTATGTGTGAGGATAAGACCATTTCGGGGACATTAGAAGCAGAGAACATTTTCAAGAGCCGATTCCAACAAGATCTCGTGACATGTATGGCTCTTGCAAATCAATTGCATCAGTGCTTTGTGGCTGTTCGAACGACTGCCAAGGACGTGGTAAAGTGCTCCAAAACAAAGCTAGATGCTCTTGTTGAATTAAAGCAATCACAAGCAGGATTTGAATTGCAAAATCATCTCTACCAAGTGAATCAAACGCTAGAGCAAATGGACGAGAACTTGTTGTTGACGCTGAGGAAAGCGCACAAAGCTCTTCAAGACAACATCCAAAAGATTGTCGAGGAATTCAAGAAGAAGAATCAAGCTGCGTTCCTTCAAAAAATTGATCTCAAGCTTGCCAACTACTTTGACAGGATCTCTCTGGTCCTTTTCCACAGACTGTCAGGCTCCCTGCAGGTCACGTGCCTCCGCCCTGACGACGAAGAGTACAAGCGCTGCTGTGCCGGAGTGATCGCAGCAGCGAATCGATCGTACTTTTCCGGCACTCAGTATGACCATTACCGCATTTCATGCGTCGTCAAGTTACGTCATGACAAACAAAAGCAGCATTTCAACGCACGTAACCAAGAAGGGAAGGTGAAAGGACTTTTCTGCAGTCTGGAGCAGGACGCGGTTGTCCATACATTGTTCTTTGGTTCTTTCTGCCAGCGCCGGTGCATCTTCATTTAACCTGCAGAAGAAATTTGATCTCGGAGACCCAGCGGAGCACATGATGGATATGTATCTACAGCTTGCAGGCTCTGCTTTTACGCCGACACTTCCCATGACCTTCTCTAGAATGAGCACACTGGTGCGGTGGGTCCGGGCTGATAATCAGATAGTAACGTGTGCAACAGAGTGGCGACAAGGCAAGTCTTGTCGAGGAGAACATCACGAAGTTCGATGACGATCCACTGCAAAGGGAAGGTTCGTGACAAATTTGTCCTGTCATCTTTCGATGAGCCTGCACCCTAGGAATAGCTGACGGAGCACTGTCTACGTTTCTCAAGAAGCGTCAGATCAGATGTCTTGCGCTGTGTCGTGTAAATATTCTAGAAGATATAGGAAAGCAAAGGTCAATCGCTCTTGTTGCATCCGTTGTGTTGCATCCGTTCTTCAGTATGACGAATTACATCAGAGAGCTGATCAAGATCAATGCCGAGATCGAGATTAACGACCCATCGAGGATTCTGCCAGAGTATCTCATCTTCTACACTTTGGAGAAGGAGGCCGCAAAATCTGCATCCTTACTTGATGAGCCAACACTGAATCCGTCGGCCACAAAGGACAGAGTTGTCCTTGCTCCGGGAGGATTCGGAGAGCAAGACCTTTCTCGGTGACAACCTTCAGCATCTTCATCCTTCCTCCACCTTGACCCTTGAAGCTCAGGCTCCTATCGCTCGCTCCCCCTTCGCCAATCCAACAAGACAACGTCGAGCAGGGTCAGCAAGGGGACGGCAGGAAGGATCTCAGCGGGGTCAGGAGAATGTTGGAGCTGCACAGGAAGTTGCATCGACGGCAATGAAGGACACAAGAGACATGTGCCGGGAGGTGCTGTCGTCTGTGAGTGAACGCATCTCGTCGATCTCGAATCATGCCGAGCAGAGCATTGCATCTATAAGTTGTCATGACAACCTTGGAGCCATACTCTCTTGACTTGTCTTGTTTGCTCTCGTGCAAGGCCCGAATCTTACAGCAAGGTGTATTCTACATGAATGATATGGAAACCAACCTCTGGTCCTTATCTTCTAGAAATCCCACATTCGTCTAGTCCTCCTCCTCCTCCTCCTCTTCATCGGCATAATCTTCTTCGTTTGCACCCCAAATATCTGCATTCCGTATCTTGTTGATCTGAACCTCTGCAGGGTGATGAAGCATCAGTATTAGTTGAAAGAGCAGAGGAGATAGAAGCAAAAAGCACTTACTTATGACGTGAACGATCTTGTAGACCACAGGGACTGTGAACAAGAAACAAATTGCAACGAGAATGTACAGCATGCCAGTGGACATTTGCATTGCAACGAACAGCATCGCATCTACATCTTGAATTTCTGACAAGAACAATAGCAAGAACAAAGCTTTCTGTGGTCTACAGTATTCCATCTTTAGAAGACACTTTAGTATGCTTCGATGCAATCGTTTGATGTCTTCAATGTGTGTATGTCTTGATGTCTTGATGTCTCGTTGTCTTTTCTTATGAGTCTTGATGTCTTGATGTCTTGATGTCTTGATGTCTTGATGTCTTGATGTCTTGATGTCTTGATGTCTTGATGTCTTGATGTCTTGATGTCTTGATGTCTTGATGTCTTGATGTCTTGATGTCTTGATGTCTTGATGTCTTGATGTCTTGATGTCTTGTCTCGTTCCCTCACAACATGTCAAGCAGGCTCAGCGGCTTCATTTCCCATCCGGTTACACTATCACCCGACATCTCATCCTTCCCTGGCAGAGCAAATCTGATGTATCTTTCGAAACTGATCTGAGAATTTCAAATGTTAAAAAACATTTTCATGATAATCAAGTCAATTTGAGTGATTTCTTCCAATCTTGATTTCATAGGCCCATTTGTTGCTCTGGCCCGGAGCGTTCTGAGGCGGGGGGGGAGGGCAATCGAGGCGGGGGCCATGGGAGGGGACGGAACGAGGGGAAGGGGCGGAGGGAGGAGGAAGAGGGAGAGAGAGAGAGGGGAGGAAGGGGAGGGGAGGGGAGGGGGGCAAGTACTGCAGGTAGGGGAGGAGGGAACATGCCGGGAGCGAGGGAGGGAGCGAAGGAGCGAAGGAGCAAGGTTTTAGGGAGAGTTTAGGGTGGAGGTTTTAGAACGGGAGAGTGGGCGTGCTCAAGGGTGGGTAGAGGAATAGAAGAGAAGGGAAGACAGAAGGCGGAGGAGGGAGGACGTTGATATGTTGCTTGCAGAGAGGTCAAGTCATCGACCAGAGCACGGCCTTCGATCATGCTTGGCGGCTCCATCACCAGGAACTGTGTGTTGGCGCTAGGGCCCCGTAGACGCTTGCTGGTTCATAAGGCAAGGACGAGCTCGTTTGCGCTGCTCTCTGTCGGAGGAATCTTGTGCTGCTACTGCCCGTCTTTCATCTCAGCCTTCCTCGTTACTGCTCCACAGCCAAGACAACGTTACCATCCTCTCATAGGAACTACCGGCCGTCCTTTGATCTCTTACCCACCCAACGACATGCGAGCGCGTCTGCTGTCGAGAGCTGCTGAGGGAGGGAGAGCTGCAAGAGGGAGGGGAGGAGAAGGGGGATCAGGAGATACAGCAGGGCAAGGAGCTTCCTCGTCAGACCTGTTGAGGATCTCAGATGATTTCGATGCCTTCGATGTTGAAGACATGGGGGTTGATGAGCTGAGGATGAAGTTGAAGGAAAGGAGCCTGTCGGTTGATGGAGATGTTGAAGTGCTCCGGGTACGTTTGGTTGCAGTTGTTGTTGATGATGGAGATGATGATGATGGAGACTTTGATGTAGGCGACGATGGTGGTGGTGGTGGTGGTGGTGGTGGTGATGAAAAGTTTGAGCAGGAAAGATTGTTACAGCATTTACTTCAGAAGCTGGAAGGTGAAGGTGAGGCGCTTGAGAAGATTGTGATGTAAGGCTCACAAGTTGCATGTAGAAGCGGAGCTTGACTCAGCATACGAGAAGATTTCAAACAAACAGAAACAGCAAGGTCGAGAGCTGAAGTCGAAGACGACAAAATCTGTGAAGGAGGAGGATGAGGAGGAGGAAGGAGAGCAGGAGAAAGGAGGAGGACAAGGACGAGGACAGATAGATACATTGAGATGGCTCTATCTAGATGCAGAGTCAGTAGCTCTCCTGTCCATAGATCAAGTGAAAGATGCCCTGCAAGAGAGAGGAATGTCGGTAGACGGAACCGACAAGAAACTTCGAGCAGCCCTCCGTAGAGCCATCGAGGAGGACGAGGACGAGGACGAGGAGCAGGACGAGGAGGAGGAGGAGTTAAAACCAAGAGGGTCGTCGAAGGGGCAGGAGAATGATGAGAATGATATGATCACTGTTGAAGAGATTATGTCATTGAAGCAATCAGAGCTGAAGGAGGTTCTCAAGAGCTATGGGCTCCCATCAAGCGGCATCAAGTCTGTACTGCAGGTGCAATAGAGGAACACCCTCTCCTTCTTTCGCTTGTCAGCGTTCGCTTCTCATCTTCCTCCCTCTCCCTTCTCTTCCCTCATCCTCCCCTCCCCCTCCCCCTTTCTCTCATCCTCCTGTTCCTTTCATCGATCCTTCTTTCCCTGTCTTCTTCCTCCTTCCCTTTCCTCCCCCACCCCCCTCCTTGTGCTCGTGTTAATCCAGCCTTGGGATCAGGGGAGGCTCATGGACTTCATAGAGAAGGAGCTCAAAGTCAAGCCGACCTCCAGCAAGTCTTCTGTTGACTCGGACGAGGTCCTAGGAGCATTTGACAACGCGCTCGATGAATGGTTTGGGCTTGGCACTGGCGCCAGGGGAGTTTTCCGCAAGAAGGCAAAGGAAGGCTTCTGCCCTGGCTGCGGCTGCAAACTTCAGTCAAGCTCGTCATCAGCTCCAGGCTATGTGCCGGAGAGCAAGGTGAGAAGAAAAGACTGCTCTTCCTCCTCCTCCTCCTCCTCCTCCTCCTCCTCGTCCTCCTCCTCCTCCAACACCACCATCCTTTCATTCGTCTTCTTTTCTTCTCCTCTCCTTCCTGCCTTTGCGGTTTCTTGCTCTTGGCTAGGAAATGATTGAAATGATGGAGATCATGATGATGTGTTTGTTTTGGATTGTGCTTGTGACGTTTTGCTTTTCAGACAGGACAAGAGAAAGTTGTATGTGTGCGGTGTTATAATTTGCAGCATTACGGAAAAGTCAATCCAGACCTTACAGCACAGAACGCAAAATACACCGAGGTGAGGAGGAGTGTAGTTGGAGCATGGAGAATCGGGAGGAGCAGAAAAAGTTCAAGGAGAGGCGGAAGGGGAGGAGGAGGAGAAAGGGGGGATAGAGGGGAAGAGAAGAGGGGATCGCAGGAGGAGGCAAGACATTGAATAGACGGAAAACAGGTCTCCCCAGCCGCATTTCGGTCGATCCTGGCTCCTCTCAAGAAACAGAGTTGTATCGTTTGCTATGTCGTTGATATCTTCGACTTTCACGGGACCTTCTTGCCGGACTTGAAGGAAATAGTGGGAAGGTACCTTCTCTTTCCTCCCTTCCTCTTCCCTTGATGTTTCCTTTCTCCGACATTATTTTATCATTCGCTTTCGAGGAGAAATTTGACAACATCTCATCTCTTCCTTTCCTTTGACTCTTCTGCTTTCTTTCGGTTTCATGTTTTTCTTCACTAACTTTGCTCCTTCTCCCTTGTCCCTCCCCTCCTCCCCCCTCGACTCTTCCCTCTTCCCACTCTCCTGCTCCTCCTCCTGCTCCTCCCCCTGCTCCCCCTGCTCCTCCTCCTGCTCCTCCTCTCTTTTTCAGGAATCCTGTCATCCTTGCGGTCAACAAGGCGGATCTTCTTCCCACTGACTTTCGCAGAGATCGAGTCAAGCAGTGGGTGAGGGAAGAGGCGAAAATCCTCGGCGACTACTTGGTGAGGATTTCATTTATGATCTTACTCATCTGCAAACATAGATAATGATCGTGACGATGATGATGATGATAGAGATGGTGGTGGAGGACATATATGTTTGACAATGTAAAGAGAGAAGATGGTGATGTCATCTTCTCTGAGGTTTCTTTGAATTGCTCTAGTCGAGTTGATTGTTTGAGTTGATTATATGAACTCACAACTCTCGCAGATCGTAGATGTAGTTCTTATAAGCGCGGCATCTGGTTATGGTGTAAAGCTGCTGGAGCAGCAGCTGAGGTCGGTCTTCTCCTCTTGCAAACTTCCTCGTCCTCGTCCTGTTGCACCTCCACCATCACCTCCTCCTCCAGCTCATCCACCTCCTCGTCCTCGTCCTCGTCCTCGTCCTTGTCATCGCCCTCGTCCTCGTCCTCCTCCTCCTCCTCGTTGTTCTCCTTCTGCTCCACGGTCTTCTCCGCATCTTCCTCCTCATCTTCCTCATCCCCTTTCTCTCCACTATCAACATGATTCGCTGATTCTTCTAATTCGTGTGTTCGTCTCTCACTACTACATCTCCCGTTACTCCCTTCCCCTTCTCATCCTCTCCCCTCCTCACTCTGACATGTGCTGGGCAGAGCCTGGAGCTCGAAGAGGAAGCAGAACATCTACATTGTTGGAGCAGCCAACGTGGGCAAGTCGACCCTGGTCAATCGACTGCTGGCAGGAGATTTTTCGCAGGTGGGAGAGGCCAAAGTGAAGATACGGGGGAAGCTCGTGGAGGATGAGGAGGAGCTGCGAAGCCTCGGGGTTGATCTTCCTGCTCATGCTGCCCCTCCCGCTGCCGAGGACGGGAAGGAGGAGGATTCGAAGGAGGTGCAAGAAAGTGCAGGCGCGGGGAAACTGCAGACGTTCAAGATGCCAGACGACTTCAAGCTGGATCTAGGGGAGGACGAGGAGGACGAGGAGGAGGAGGAGAAGGAGGGGGGTGCAGAGCTTGCTCAGGACTTCGAGTACAAGGACAAGAGGAAGCTGCAGAAGACTGAGAGAGATCACAGAACGAGAGTCCTGCGAGGAATGCAAGGCGGAGTCACAACCTCCTCCCTGCCTGGCACGACCCTTGACCTGACTGAGCTTGACCTCGGCAACGGTTACAGCATGTTTGACACACCAGGACTCATTGTCCCGTAAGATGTCGCATGCAGCCCCCTCATCGTTCTGCTCCTCTTTCTCCTCCTCTTCCTACCTCCTCCTCCTCCTGACCCCCCAATTCTCCTCCTGCTTTCGCTCTTGCTCTAGTTCTCCCATCTGTCCCCCTACTCCTGTCCTCCTCTTACTCCTTCTCCTCCTCTTCCTCCCACTCATCCTTCTGCCTGACTCTCTCCTCCTCCTCCTCCTCCTCCTCCTCCTCACCACCACCACCACCACCACCATGTTGCCACTGACGTCTGCTTTCCTTTCTCTCCCTCTTCCTCCCTCTCTCAGATCTCAGCTCACCAACATGCTGACCATGGAGGAGCTCGCCGTCGCCCTCCCCCAGCACAAGGTCGAGCACGTCACCTACCGTATCCCCGCGGGCACCTGCGTCCACCTGGGCGCCTTCGTCAGGATTGAACTCCTCACAGACAAGCCTTTCTTCTTCACTATTTTCGTCAGCAACCTGGTCAGCTCCCCTCCCAGCTCGCCCTCTCCCTCCCTCCCCTTCCCCTTCCATCCAAGCTGAACCCCTTACTCGTCCCCAGCTGACCCCTTACTCGTCCCCAGCTGACCCCTTACTCGTCCCCAGCTGACCTTGTTACAGGTGACGATCCACGTCGGCAAGACGTCGAAGGCCGAGGAGTTCCGGTGGGCGCAGGTTGGGAGGATGCTGAAGCCTCCGATGACGTCGGAGCGACTGAAGGCAGTGGGGGAGTTGGAGGAGACTATCCTTGACGACTACGGAGACTCGTGGGACGTGGCGTGTACCGACATCGTGATCGCTGGGTTCGGGTGGGTGGCGCTGACGGGGATCGGACCGGTGAGGGTGCGGGTGCTGGCACCCAAGGGGGTAGGGGTGACAAGACGGTCACCGCTGATGCCGTTTGAGGCGAGGACGTCGACAGAGTCGTACTCGGGAGGAGGAGACAAGAAGGGAAACTCGAGGAGGACGAAGAAGCTGACGCTGCCTGGGAACATGAAGCTCTCCCGGGGAAGGAACACGGGGAAGAAGATGTACTGAGGAGGGAGGGAGGGAAGGATGCGGTGATACTTCGGTGAGGGACAGGAGGTGGAGGAATGAGATGTAGGAGATGAACTGCAATGAGGAGAGGAGGAGGAGAGGGGGGGATGCAGATAAAGAAGAATGAGATTCACTGTGAAGAAAGCTCCTCCTTCACTTGTCCTGCACGACGCTGTACGCATACCCTGAAACAAGACAGCCCAGCAACCAGAACAACCCCAGCTCCTGCCCAGCAGCAAGTCAGCTGGAGCCGAGCAAGGAAGAAAAACTACGAACAGACGCATGTTTCTTCCAAATGGTGTAGTTGATGATGATGGTGAGAACTTTGTTCATGTTCCCTGCAGTCACGTCAGGCTCTAGAGGTTCTCCGGTCTCCTCTTCACCTATCACTGAGTAGGAGGTGGCGGACACCTGGATAGACATGAATCGTCATGGAGGAGCAGGAGTGGAGCAGGGGCAGGGGCGAAGGTGGGGAATGGGTCAGGAGAAGGAGGAGGAGGAGGAGGAGGAGGAGGAGGAGGAGGAGGAGGAGGAGGAGGAGGAGGAGGAGGAGGAGGAGGAGGAGGAGGAGGAGGAGGAGGAGGAGGAGGAGGAGGAGGAGGAGGAGAGAGGAAGGG